GTGGATGATGGTGTGATAATTTAAAAAACATTCGCGCAAGAGAGTGCTCCGCGAAGTGGAGCTCATGGGGCGCGCAGCGCCGCCCGAGGGCCGAAGGCCCGAGAGAAACGTCAAGTCGGCGAAGCCGACTTGCCTACGTTTCTAGTCAATTACTATTAATTAGCGATAGCTCCGTCTGCGTCGCACACCCGTCCCGAAAGGGCGCCGATTTCCATGCCCTAAGGCTTCTCTCGCGGGGCGAGCGGGGGTGGCGGCCGGGCCAGGAGGGCCCCGCCTTCCTTTCTTCGTGGTTTAGGGGTGTTTCGGCGGAGGTTCGTCCGCGCCATCCCGGAGATTTTTCCGGTTTTTCCGGGGTTTCTCGAGGGGCGTGGCCCATCGACGCACGTAGGACATACCGGGAACGCCTCTAAATGTCACTCGGAGGGTCGATTTTCGGGACCTGAAACTTTTTTTACGGGGCGATTCTGCGGTTCTCTTCGCTACTAGGCCCGACTTTCGTCCTTTCTTCCTCCTTTAGGCGTAGTTTCGCGGCGAATTTTCCACTCCGCGACGCCGAAATTTGCTCTTCAAAAAGGCTCTGCACCACCAAATCCCTCGAAATACCCATCTTTTTGCTAATTCCCGGTTTATCTCGCCGAAAACGCCGTTTTCGCGTAGCGATAATTTATTTTCCTCGCTCTGCGGCCCACCCCTTCTTGCGCGAGAACGAAGCTCTGGCCTTACTCTGGGCATACGGACCGCGCCCGAGGGCCGACGAGGCCCCATTTGGCCCCCCGAGACGCCTCTTCGACGGCGCGTCGCCACGATCTCACTCTTTCATATCTCCGTCAACTTTTTTTAGGTCAAATGTAACTGAATTTAAGACCGGCATTAGCGATATAAAATTTGTGCATTCCGCCATGGGCGTTTCTTTAGTCAGGTGAAAAGAGAACGTACTTTCCGCGGCTCTAACGAGACGTTCGCAGAGTTTCCGCGGCCGAATTCTTCACGAGTGACGTCACGATACCTTTCCCTTTCCGCGAAAAATTATATTCAGCCCCCACAGTAGCCCCAACGGATCATAAGCCATGGTATAAAACCCTTAAATAAAAAATTTTGCGAGTTTATGACAGCCGATGACAGCGGTAAAACTGGTGACAGTTCGCTGTGACAATATGGCCGTCGCCCGTTGTTCGTAGGAAAATCGTAAATTTTCAACTTTATATGCGCCGATTTGTGTAAATCCCGCTAGCGGGGGCCGTTTTACATCGTATTCTTTGGTATTGTATTGCTTTTGTATAGTTTGTTTCCCAAGAAGAAAATTACGTTAAACACCGTTCCCATGGGCTTATGTTATAGGTCGTGGCCCCACGTATGCTTTGTGATCTGGATTGTCAGTGAAATACATTCTTCAAACTTAACAAATGGACAGGTAAATAACACTAAACTTTAATATAACCTTTACCCATTCATTAAAAATAATAATAACCCCTACCAAGACTACATTTCAGTACAAAACTGCGAGATTCCTAAACTTGAAGACCTGTCTCCACTTTTTCGATCACTGACGATCGTCGAATCGTCCCTGTCACTCCTGTCGTCTGTCAAGCAAAAGAAACCTGTACATTGAGAAAAGCCACTTCCAAGTTTACTCAGAAGACAAATTTTTGGCCTGGGGGCGTCTTACAAAAACCCTTTCTACAGGTATAGTATATGTATGTATTTTTTTACCCGGCCGTTGACAGAATCTAACATAAACTTTAGTTTTCCAGTTGAACCTAGGCTGTAGATGAACGTAAATATAGTGCACAGTGTGGAAATTTTGTTTAGTTGGTTTATAAGAATCCACCACTACATTCCTACAATCTTGCTGTTTTACGAGGACCCCTGGAAACCACCAGTGAATAAAGAACGATTTAAATAAAGAGCACCTTTGTTGGTATTTCATTATACGTTACATAGGTATACAATGTGACATATGCATACAGTTACACTCCCGGCATATTATATAAAATATACAGATGTGTGTTCAATTTTACACATGAACACAATTTTTTAGTTAACAAATTTTGGAAGGTAATTTCAATTAATGTTTTTTTATCATTCGAAAAACTCAGGTTTTAATACATTCCCAGAGGTCTGAAATAAGTATAAACGATAAAAATATTTGTATAACATTGATAAACATTTGAAAAAAACTAATGTAATATAAACATTAACCATTTAGTTTTAAATATATATATACGGTAAGTAATTATATTATGTATTTTTAAATATCCACTGTTGTCACAGAAAAAACACAATTTTCTTTCACAATCAATCATAAATAATACACATTCTTTTTTATTTATATTTCATATTATCAATTACATACATCTGAATAAATACTGTACAACTGTACCGGCATTTCTGTCCTAATAACGTTAATTCTAAATTCATAACCCTATCTTCTGCTATCACATGTCAACTGGATTAAAACATTATTTTTATATCTTCCATTTAACTTTATAACTGACATTTTAACCCATTACCATTTACGATGGAGTTAAAATACATTATATTTGAGGGATTTCTTATTTTTCACAACACTCAAAGAACACAGTATTTTTACTTACAAAAATATTTCTGTTTAACATTACAATTAACGTTTTACTTATTCAGCAAGGCAAAATACTACATGTATCACAGTTAAATAATCCAACTAAAACTTCTTTTTCTTCAGCTTCAACTTCCAGCATTGTTTAAATAACAGCATCTAAAAGAAACATTTTTCTGTAATTCTATTCTAAGAAAACATTTTGTTTGATTGTTTCTAATTTCTATACATACCTTTCATGTTTTGATTCCAACAATTTTTACTAATATAATAATTATACATCAACTACAAATTTCCATATTATTTCAAAATATACTTCTAAAAAACAAATACTGGGAAATCGGTAAATTTTGCAGCCAGTTATTAATTATAACGAGCGTTCAAATAAAAACGTGGTGAAGTTGGTTCTGAAAATTTGGACGTAGGGCGTAGCGTATAGCAAATGAACTTAAACGTCATCTGTCAAAGCGCTATATCGCCGCTATCAATTTGAATATTTTCGTTTTAAAAAGCGTTGAAAGTGGTGTTTTCTCAAGAACAAAAAGTGTTTATCATAGAGTCCTACTTTAGAAATGGACGCAAGATTGATGGAATATGGAAGTATTCTATTGAGGAATGTTTCATAGAATTTCAAAATCANACGATGGAGTTAAAATACATTATATTTGAGGGATTTCTTATTTTTCACAACACTCAAAGAACACGGTATTTTTACTTAAAAAAATATTTCTGTTTAACATCACAATTAACGTTTTACTTATTCAGCAAGACAAAATACTACATGTATCACAGTTAAATAATCCAATTAAAACTTCTTTTCTTCAGCTTCTTCAACTTCCAGCATTGTTTAAATAACAGCATCTAAAAGAAACATTTTTCTGTAATTCTATTCTAACTAAGAAAACATTTGTTTGATTGTTTCTAATTTCTATAGGTACATACCTTTCAAGTTTTGATTCCAACAGCTTTTACTAATATAATAATTATACATCAACTACAAATTTCCATATTATTTCAAAATATACTTCTAAAAAACAAATACTGGGAAATCGGTAAATTTTGCAGCCAATTATTAATTATATCTACTCTTAAGTATATAATCTAGGATATATACACATCCAATATCCATTTGACAGCCACATAAATACAAGAAGTTACTCACAGATCACAGATTAAAGATTTGCAGTTAGTCGGATAGGGAAATTATTACATCCAATCATGGGCAAGCATTTAGAGGACAGCTTACGCCCTCATTGTGTCTGGCACGAACTAAAATCGAACTGGCTTCATTATGTACGTTTAAGAATGCAGCTTTCGATTGCAACACTAAAGAATTACTCGATATTATAAATTTTTTCTAAAATTAAGTTACTAACTGGAATTACGATGACAATGACGATATGGAAGAAAATATAACTTTTCAAATAGGTTTTTCTACACAGGATGACGGGGTTTCTAAGAAAATTGGGTTGAAGCTGGAACGGTCGAGAGTGTTCTGCATATTTCAGAACTTTATTGGTTGCAATATTTTTATGAAAGATCTTATATTGTACAACTGTAGAAGCATTTTGCAAATTTATATACTGAGTGTTTCATAAAAATGAAACAGGCGGACAAGGATTTTTTTCTCATTTCACTACCTACTTTCCTACATTATTAATTGAAATCTCTTGATGAAAATTTATAGTTACTAACAAGACGCTTTCTTTGAAAATCCATATACTGGATGTTCTACATAAAGAATTATCGGTCCAGAGGCTTTTGTATATTTCAGAAATTTATTAATGGCAATATTTTTATGAGAAATCTTATATTGTAGAACTCAGAAGCATTTTGCAAATTTATATACTGAATGTTTCATAAAAATGACAGGCGGACTAGGATTTTTTTCTCATTTCATTACCTACCTAAATTTCAAATAGATATTTCTACACACGGTGTCTTATTAACCAAATGTTTTTTGCAATTTATGTAGAGGATGTTTCATAAAACTGACACAGGTGGATTAAATCTTTTGAAGAAAAGTTGTATATTTATTGAGCAGCCGCTTTTTAGAAAATCCATATATGTACTGGGTGATCTACAAAATTGACCCACATCCGAAACGGGCAATTTTTTCCCTTTTCACTTTTAACTTTGTTTTTATTTACTAAAATCTTTTAATGAAAAATTGTATATTTAATAACCGGATGTCTTTTTGAATCTTTATATTGAATGTTCCACAATACTGATGCAGATTAAAATTATGAATAGAAGAAAACTTTTCTTATTGTTTTTTTCCATATTCATATTTAATACTGAAGTCTGCAATATTTTTATGCAATATTTGTATGAAAAACCCGACTAACCAGGTGTTTTTTGCAATTTATATACAGGATGTTCCATAAAACTGACACAGGTGTACCGGATTTTCCCTTATTCATTTTGTTAATTTATTCTTTAAATCTTTTGAAGAAAAGTCGCTTTTTTTAAAATCCATATAATAGATGTTCTATAGAATTAAGGGCAGTTTTATTTCTTTTCACTTTTAGCTTTGTGTTTATTTACTAGTCTTTTAATGAAAATTTGTATATTTATCAAGCAGATGTCTTAATTTATTTTTTTACCATTTCTGCCTTACCTACGTAGTCTTTGGATGAAAAATTTTATATTTACTAACCATATGCCTTTTTGGAAGTTTATAACAAACTTTTCTTATTCTACGGGGCCTACTCTATTTTGAAAAACATTATCATACTTTTATATATAGGGCGTTTAAAAATCAAAGTACAGGGAGTTTTAAAAAAATATTATATCTACTAAGCAGCGAGGAAAGCACCGCGGAGCGGTGCTCGGGCCGCGCGCAGCGCGGCTCGAGGGCCGAAGGCCCGTGAGAAAGGTCAAACTTCGCGTCAGCGAAGTTTGCCTACCTTTCTAGTCAATATATATTAAAATCCGATAGCTCCATCTGCGTCGCACGATCGGCCCGAAAAAGAGCCGATTTGTGTTAGCAAAGGCTTCGCCCCGGGGCCGCGTAGCGGCCCCCGTCGCGACGCGAAGCGTCGCGACGTCCTTCCCGCGTCCCAACGTCGTATTTAGAACCCGATTACTCGACGCCTTCACCGTGAATTCTTTGAATTCCCCAGGCTCTGCGAGTGGCGCGGCCCAATTTTTGTGCGAAACGCGATAGTCCGACACTCCCTCCCGCTGAAATCTGGCGGTCGCCGATCGCCTAGAATCGCGCGCGGGTACGGCTTTTTTATTTTTATTTCCCCTATTTTCTACGATACTTTATTTAAAACCGTGCCGAAAATACTCATATTTATCAACCGGGTGCCTTCTTCCAACTTTGTATGTAGAACTTTCCGCGAAATCAAACGCGGGATTCGAAATGCGGCCGTAAATACGTTAAAATGCACTGTCTAGGAAGGCCGAAAAATGTGAATTTTACACAAAATTCCTTCTCCGCGAACCTCGAAACGGCGTGCGACTTGGCACAGATACTCAGTCGTTCCTCCTTAGTCGTTCGGGGGCATATTTGTAACGTTTTTTTCGCGTTTTCATATATAATTTTGCCTTCTTTTTGGGGTCTGCTCGACGACAGACGACCATTTCGCAAGCCGTAAGATTGAAGCTTTAAGACACGCCCACCGGGAGAAAATTGGAACGTCGTTAGAAACGTCAGATTAATTATGTCAAAATAATTTCACGCCAAACGTCAAAGCCGTTTGTAGGGTAGCGGAGCGTCGTTACTTTACCTTCCCAGGCCTTTCTTAAACGTTAATGCGTAGCTACGCCCCGACATGTATAGGTATTACATTATTGTCACGATATTATTTACATTTTTTCATAACTACCTCTCTACATAAGTTTGACATGCTAGCTGTCCCCGCATTGATGTAAGTACCCCTAAAATTGCATGTTTCAATTTCAAGGCAAACGGTAAACCCTTTACAAAACCTTGCAAGTTTAATATTACATTACATTATGCATTTATATTACTCTACTATTGGCATTAGTCGTGATACGTCAAAAAGAACTGGCGCTAAAGCCTAAAGACTTCCGTGCGCGAAATATCTTATTTTACTTTTACATTCACGCCATTTCGAGGTACATGTCTTTTAATTACCAGTACAAAGTTACACCACACACGTACAATAGATTCCCCCGATTTAAAAAAGCAAAGTCTGAACATTTCATATTATTTTTTTTTTTTCAATTTTACAGGTACCTACCTATTCTGGCTTACTTCTTATTAACGAACATTTAAATTATTGCATTCATTTAGTACTATTCGTATACATAAAATTATTCCACTAATGTCAAAATGAAAAGAGTTCGCCGTTTGAATTTTTTCCATCTAATCATATTCATTGCATTTGTAACGACTAGAGCAGTAGGTTTGCTTTGCTTCCCGGTAATCCCGGTCGACTTGGGTCTCACATCGTCATATATCTTAATTCTTAACTTCTAACCTAACATAATATGAATACGTGCAGCTAAACAAGCTACAGTTTTTCGTTACAAATAGTACAAATACGGTCTATGCCACCAGTGTAAAGAAGAAATACCCCCAGTGCAGATATGAATGCGAGTGCAGTGAAATTTCTAACCTAAAATATCAGCGGGTACAAGTAAACAAGTACAAGTTTTTCGTTATAAATACGCTACAGATGAGTGTATCTGAGGCCATAGTCTGGAATTTTTGTGATTCAGGCCCAGTAAAATGCCACCCCACCAGTTAAAATACGGGTGAACTTCGCGAGTGCTTGAAAAAAAGTTATTTAATTGTATTAGATATCAGTAACTTCAATAATTAAAAATGTAAGTAAGTCTGTCTTCTTTCAATAAAGATTATATTGACAATAATCTATTCTTTAACTTTCATTAGTACTTAGGTGCCAAGAACATCTTTATTTTGTAAGTGATGTTTTCAGTAATATTTATTTGGGGAAAACAATATGTACCTATCCAATAGTAAAAGTTCCAATATATTTCTAAACATTTTAAATATTATCCACACAACGATTTCTTTTATCTTCGACACTATAAACAATGTATAGGGTGTTTTAGTTTTAATCAAATATATTTTCGCGATTCATACAATAGGTAAGTTTGTTACATAATTATTTATTGCCGGAACCTTACAAAAATATATCCAGTCCTTAATTGTTTAGAAATAATACAGATTTTTTTCATTTCTATAACACTAAGGCTAAATAAATAAAAAATACTACTAAAAAGCGTGATATGACATACAAGGTGTTATTTTATTTAGGTTCCCATATTCTTGGCCATCCCAATATTTAATACTTACAGGCTGTGGCTTATTTAACTTATTTTTTCTAAAATATTGTCCACAGAATTGTTTTTTTTAACCCTGGGATAGATGTATCTCCACTGCATGTTTATGAAAAAAAAATTAGTTCTATAATCTCAATCATTCTCTAGAGCAGGGGTCGGCAAGTAATTTTAGGTGGGGTCCGGATATTTTTGAAAATTTTTAACTAGGTCCAGAAAAAAATTCATATTTCTTATTTTTTTATTTTAATTTGGACTCAAATTTAATCTGCTTACTAATTAAGAACTCAAAACACTCGCACAATTGTAAAATACTAGAAAAGATGATAAGATTGGCACTTAAACGTAAAAAACATTTTTTAAATAATTAAATTTGAGTAATTTTTACTTTCAAAAAATTTTTGGCGGTCCAGTATTTTACCTTCCGGCGGTCCGGACCTGGACCGCGGTCCGCCAGTTGCCGACCCTTGCCCTAAAGTATAACAGAATTTTGAAGCAACATATTTCAAGATAAGTA